AAAACCGAAATTTTTCTGGTTTTTTTCAACCAATTTGAAAAAAGCAGTTTTTTTAAAAATTATTTTCAAATAGTAATAAAATCTAGGTACACATACTTTAAAGATATTAGTTCAAAGATATTTCTATAAAGATATCTAAAGAATTTTAGAATGTATGGACGGAAATAAACATACAAAAAGCTAACATTAACAGAATTAATATAATATTATTATTTTATCTTAAATTATAATATAATTGTAAAATAGAAAGATAGAGAAAATATCTTCTTGATCAAATGATTGATAGATCGATACTAATAGTCCTTGTCTGTTTATGTAAATTCATTAATCAAAGAAGACTAAATATCATGGTGAATCAATTATGAATATTGGAATTATGTTTGTATGCCACGTAATCAGATAATTGTTTATTTTCTTATTATTGTGTCGTCATAATTTTCCCTCTGCTTCTCCCATAAAAGGCTGATTCATCGTTTGAAATTTAAATCGCAAACAAGCTATTCACAAGGAATGTCATGGATTTTGATGAGCTTTTAATATACTGTCGTCTGAATAAAAATAAAAAACGTATTTTTTTTATACGTGCTCATGTGCTGCACTTTTAAGAAGTAAAACATCCCTTATAGAAAAATCGGTTATTCTCTTTCGAGATAAATATCGTCAAAACTGATAATAGGAAACATTGGAAAATATTGTAGCAGTACATAGATTCTGAATAATCACGCAGGACCTTTTACTTTTAACCACCTTTATTATTATAATCAGTGTATCTTAAAGAGCACGCTCAGATTCATTTTAATAAAAAAGATTATTGTAATCCTACGTACAAAACTGTATGTCAAACGTGTATTTTGGATCACCTAATTTCATAATTTGCCATTTTTAATAACAGATTCGTGATCAGCGAGCCTTAAAACCTTTAAGTATCAATTATCATGAGAAACTTTTGCAATACATCCGATTAATGATAAGTTTTAGCGTGATGTACGAAAATTCGACTTACAAACTAATATAACAAAAAAAAATCTATTTTTCCTGCATTTCTGGGATATAAAACTATTTTTACTATTTTATGGGGGTCCCAAACAACAACTTTTTGTAAATAACTAATGTTCCGCAGTGCGCCAAAAATCGGACTTATTTGACATTCTCCTTTTTTATTTTTTTATATATCTTACCCACTTAACTTTTTTTCAAAATTTTGAAAATTTTTATGACCAAATTAAAAATTATTTTAACATGAATTCAACCATATATACTAAAGTTATTTTCACAATATTGTTAATGAGAATAAACTTAATAAAAAAACTTGCAGTTTTTTAAGTTTTTAAACACAGCTCTTTGATAAACAGTAGCCGATTAAAGAATATTATTTAAAACAGATATGATTTTTATTAAATTGTATCGTAACTTGTGCTAAAAGTCTACTAAAAAGTTTACTAACAAGGGAACCTCGCAAAGTGTCAAATTCTGATTTTAATGAAACTTGGTACACTTTGAGGTCACATAAATAGATGAATTTAGAAATTATCAGTTGGTGCTA